TTCCCTTTCTCCCTCCACCAGAAACCCATGTATGAAGTACAGTGGAAGGTTGTTGAGGAGATAAATGGAAACAATTATGTTTACATAGACCCAACGCAACTTCCTTATGATCACAAATGGGAGTTTCCCAGAAACAGGCTGAGTTTTGGTCAGTATGCAACAGTATGCAACTATAAAATATCCATAAAGGAAACACCTTAACCCTCCACATAACCCGTTTGTGTACACGTAACAGTGACTTTAGGGAACCCCACTAGCTTCCTTTATTTTATTCCACCTGAAACAATAAGTGTTTTTTGTGAGATTTCACCACCTTTGATAGATTTGGCATCAGGCACACTTTAAGGAAGTGTTATCTAGACAAATTTGTCCCAAATCCTTTATTGGTTTTGAAATGACGCAAATAGTCCTTCAGTCCCACCACACCATTGCCACTTACTTCCTTGTCTTCTTTTCTATAGGGAAAACCTTGGGTGCCGGCGCCTTCGGGAAGGTTGTTGAGGCCACTGCATACGGCCTAATTAAGTCAGATGCGGCCATGACTGTTGCTGTGAAGATGCTCAAACGTAAGTTCCTGCAGGCTACTGTGCGTGCTCACCATCAGTGTCCCAGATTTGTCTTTTTTTTGGCTTTGTTTTTTGGTTTTTTGGGGGGAGATATAGTTGTTTTACAACGTTGCGTTAGTTTCTACCATATAGTGAAGAGAGGTAGAGTTCCCTGTGCTATACAACAGGTTCTCATTAGTTACCTTTTTTTTTTTTTTTTTTTTTTTGCGGTACGCGGGCCTCTCACTGTTGTGGCCTCTCCCGTTGTGGAGCACAGGCTCCGGACACACAGGCTCAGCGGCCATGGCTCACGGGCCCAGCCGCTCCGCGGCACGTGGGATCTTCCTGGACCGGGGCACGAACCCGTGTCCCCTGCATCGGCAGGCGTACTCTCAACGACTACACCACCAGGGAAGCCCTAGTTATCTATTTTATACATATTAGTGTATATGTGTTAATCCCAATCTCCCAGTTCATCCCAAGCCCCCCTCCTACCCAGATTTGTTTTTTGCTAAAATAAGATGTTTCTAATTTTAGCAAGTGCCCATTTAACGGAACGAGAAGCCCTAATGTCTGAACTCAAAGTCTTAAGCTACCTTGGTAATCATGTGAATATAGTGAATCTTCTTGGAGCATGTACCATTGGAGGTAAGGCCGTGGCCAACCTGACTCTTGTTATGGGTCAAATTATCAAAAGATGGGAGATTTTGATATGGTTTTTGACAATGCTTGATTATAAGCTCCTTGCAAGATTTTGACCCAGGCGGCTAACCTCTTGCTGGATTCCTGCACCCCACCACCCAAGCTATTGTACTTAAGAATGTATATTTCAGGTTTTATCATCATGGGGCAGGACAGCCCAGGACATACCCTAGTTACAGTCGTGTATGTCTCACCGACATTGACCTCTTGAATATCTCGAGAATGTCTCATCTCCTCCAGAAAGCTTTTCTTTTACCTTGTGAGCTTTTATATTTTGCTGGATGACATTTAGCCACTAAAGGGTTAATGTTTATGTACATACCATCATTAAAAATAGGCCTCTAAGCCTTCAAGCCCTCAAATATACACCAAATGAGCAAACACTTCACTTCTATAAAAAAGAAATTTCCAATTCGGAAGCAGTCATTAGTCCTCTCATCAAGGCTTTCTGTGATGTTGCCAGAAGGCATTTTGGTCAGAAGGAACAAAGATGTGTAAAATGAGCTATTCCTCAAGGTCTGGAGAGATCCACTGTCAAGTTACTTGACAGGGTTATATAATTTCTTAAAACAGCCCCCATAAATGTTGCTTCACCATATCACGAATTGTTCCTGAGAGATTTCTGCCCGAGTTAATTAGTTGCCTGTTAACTTCAGAGCTACAAGTTTTCAGGCGTTTACAACACCAAGAAAAAAAAAGAAAGTTCGACAGATAGGCCCTGGAACACAGGTGATGCCCCGTCATTTCAGGGTCTCCCCCCACCTCCTAGTCTCAGCTGGTGGTTCTGGTGGTTGATTTTCCTATTATGCCACAGTTTTTGTGTGTGTGTGTGCTCATCATCATTTCCATAATAACATTACCAAGAGGCATGGAGCCCCCATTGTAAACAGAAGTGAATCAAAGGATTCATATAGGAGGCTTGATAATAATTTAACGGGTGAAAGCTATAACTCTTGTCTAAAACCAGCAGTCATGCCTGGCCCCTAATCACTTAGAAATTCAGGTAAAAAGGTTACTCTGCCGCTTTTTGCTAAGCAATGTTAATAGATAGGATTGTACTTGTACTAAGTAGGCTTAGCCTTGCACCTGAGTGTGAATGGCCGTGATCACCCTTGGGTATTTTTATGGGAGGCTGGATGGTCTGTATATCTCACCTTTTTCTAACCTTTTCTTAAATGCTCGTAGGGCCTACCCTGGTCATTACAGAATATTGTTGCTACGGTGATCTTCTGAATTTTTTGAGAAGAAAGCGTGATTCATTTATTTGCTCAAAGCAGGAAGATCACGCAGAAGCGGCGCTTTATAAAAACCTTCTCCATTCAAAGGAGTCTTCCTGGTAAGACTGATTCACATAAAGAGCTGTTGACAGGCAGTTCATGGAGTCATGAGGGTTTACAATCAAGGTTGATTCTTTAAAAAAGTGAACCTGAGGTACTTTGAGGTACAAAATCAGAATTGTTAAATCATTTAAATGTGATTAACGGTTTAGAAAGTTCAAATAGTGTTTTTAAGGATTGAAATAGTGTTGAACTTAAATTTTTGTTGATTCTTAAAAATGCATCTTTAGTGTTTTTCTAAGCTTTAGTTCTATTCAATTGAATGAATTCTGTACCTATTTCTCTTATCATCGTTCTGTTCTTGTGTGTCATTCTCTTTATACTGTTGAGCCAGGTACTGTATGCATCTTTACAGTGAGACACTGTTTATAGGGAAAGTGGGAAAGGCTGCCAAATTGTCAATTTAAATTCCTTTAAAACCTTTAACAGAATGGCAGAGAGCTCCAAACAGCTCTCTGCACATAGGTTTCTCACCGTCTACCTCTGAATTACTTCTGTATACCTTACCCTTTCTTTTCTTAACTCATGCTCTCAAAGGCACAACTACTCCAGCACATTTTAAAAACTTGTGCCTTATTTTCATCTCTTTCATCCTTGATACCATTCTGAATTTGAACGATGTGTCAAGGGCTTCAAGTTCCTTTAAGGAGAATTGGTGTAGTTTACAACCAGAATAGAATTCTGTGCCATGTCTTGCCTTTTCTTTCCAAGTGTTGTTAAGATCTGCCATTTAAGATTTCCTAGATTCACCCTGCCCAACAGAAATCCTGGTAATCGTGCCTAATCCCTTATACTTTATATTTCTGCAGTTGTGCGGTGGGTTTCCTCTTTCCTTTTTATTTACTATATCGCCTACATTTTGAGAAGGCAAGACTTGTCTCCTAAACTTAACCCCAGGCCCTCAAGGAGACCTTGGTAAATATTGTTGATAGGCAGTTACCTCCTAAAGTGTTTTTCTATACCTCTGGCTAAAGTTTTAAATCCTAGGTGAAGCTTTTTAATTTTTTTTTCAATCCTGTAAACTTTGAGTAGTGACAAGTGGAAGTAAAGTACAGTATAAACCAAACCATCTTTTGTTAGTTTCTCTAGTGCACATCCTCTTTATATGAATAAATGAGCCACTTTGCCTTTTTTCTAAAACCTTGGCCCCTTATATATTTTTTAACTTTCTGAAGTAATGGCCTAAATTGTTCAGTCCTGTGTAGTGTTTTCTGTGCTTTGGGATCCCATATGGGATTGGAGCCACCAGCACACTCTGAAGGAGATTGTTGTCATGGTGTTTCTATGCTAATCAGAAGCAGGAAGTACCAGAAATCTTGAAGACTCTCCAGCCAAATGTTGCAGATTCAAGAGGTCCAGATGGTTCAGAAAATCATCCAAATTATTGGTGTTTATCTGAACCAAACTTGGTTTTTTTAAACCTTCTTCCATCAGTTGCTATATGTTAGTGATCTCTGTCTTCCCCCACTAATAACACATCTCAGAAGCTCTGGTTCTTTGTCTCTTTCATCTTGTCTCTCTTGAGGCTAATTTAGAGAGTTTGAAGTAATGTGGGATAATGGTTTTGGTTCTCTGCTTCTCATTAAATCCCTGGTGTCAAGAGATGAGAAATTTCTGACCTGAGTTCCATCTACAATTGAACACGAAAAAGGCCATCTAATTCCTGGGGATTGGACCCGAATGTTGAATATTAAAAACTCATATCTTACTGAACAAGATTTTCCTTATTGAAACTTGGCAATGCTTTCTTTAAATGAAAGCAGCCTCTTATGTTCAAAAAGGGATGGGGAGATAGAGCCTGGCCCTTGTGTGCCCCCCCATTTCCCATTTTATTTAATCATGATTTGATGGATGTTTCATCTCTCCCAGCGGTGATAGTACTAATGAGTACATGGACATGAAACCCGGAGTTTCTTATGTTGTACCAACCAAGGCAGACAAAAGGAGATCTTCAAGAATAGGTGGGTACCTATCAAGCAATAAAAACAACTTCATTGACAGAGGGTTTCTCATACCACTGTGGAATCTAACACCATTCCTGTAGTGACCGGTTCTCCTTTAGGATAGGATCCAATGGCCTAGGATCCATTGCCGTAGGATCCAGTGGCAATGCCAGTGGTCAATGGCAGTTAAGGGTTGCAAGTGGATATTTGGGGTCAGAGCGTGTGTTACTGTATCTGAGCATTTTACTGCATATATGATAACAAACATATCACAATATATCAAATACATATTTTGCATATAAAAAATATGAGACTTTTGTATTCATCCACTGTTCTTGTTCCCTGAAGATTTTGTAACTTAGCCCAGGATTGGGAATATTAGCTTTGTGATTCAGTACCTACCTGTCCTTAACATTGGGGAGGTGACTTGCCGGCAAGTTCACATCAGTTCCTTGATTACCAGCCCTTGGAGGTATTGTTGTCACTGTCTTTTACTGTCCTTACTTGAAGGTTTTAATTGCTAGGAAAATCCCTTCTCCTCCGAACAGGTTCATACATAGAAAGAGACGTGACTCCTGCCATCATGGAAGATGATGAGTTGGCCCTAGACCTGGAGGACTTGCTGAGCTTTTCTTACCAGGTGGCAAAGGGCATGGCATTCCTCGCCTCGAAGAATGTAAGTGAGGGTGATTCTCAGAAGAGTCCTCTCCTTGCCCCCATGGCCCCCAAGGGGCATTTTAGAGCCATAGTTAGAAGGCAGAGTGTCATTTGAAATTTGGTAACCAAAAGCAGAGGAAATACAGTTTCTTCATGTTCTAACTGCTGTCTCTTCGGAATTCATGCTCTCATTTATGAGCTTTAAAGTGCAAGCCTGTCTAAATGAGCTTTCTGTGAATATATTTTTTTATATGCAATGAATTCATTTAAAACTTGGCTTTTAGGATATAGGAGCTGCTCTTAGAAAATAAAGAGATAACTATTTTATCAGCCAAAGGAGGGGGTACCTCATGTAGTTGCAGTGCTCGGTGAAGCATATACTTGGGTCTTTTTGAAGTTAGACCTCAAATATTGCATGTATGGTTTACAAAGTGCAGGGGAGTAAGGAATCAAGAGAGAGCAATAAACATTTGATCAGAAGGTTGGGGGGTGGGAAGAGAATGATGGAACCAAAACAAGGAAGATGGTCTCTGGAAGGGTGAGAGGAATTCCTTAGGAAATGGGACAAGCAGAATAGAATGAGGTTACAGAACCTACCCTTAAGTTATCATTGGTGACATTTCCAAACAATTAGCAAACTAAAAGAGGATATAGGATGGCTGAAAAGTAAAGAGCCTCTTCCCTTTGTCCTTAGGAGGTATCAGATTGAAGTTGTAGACATTTTAGAAACTCTTTAAAAGGACATTCAAAGGGAAGCATGTAAAATGAGTTTTCCGTTTAAAAAAATGATGAGACTATTTATAGTGTATTTTCCTATGAATGAAAGTAGTCCTAAGGAAAAAAAAGAAGCATTTATTCAAGTGGGTTTTGAAAGTGATTATAGTAATTAAGGTCCTAACAATGTGAGACACAAATTTGAACGTCATTCAAAGTGTAAAATCTAGATATTTATTTTTGGTGCACTGAATAGTTGAAACGTAAAGCAAAAGTATTGGCACTGTATGACATAAGCAGCGTTCTAGTATTAAACATAGCTTTCACTCTTTAAGAGTTTAAAATAAATGTCAATGGTTTCCTTTTGTCTCCCACTCTCCTAATAGTGTATTCATAGAGACCTGGCAGCCAGAAATATCCTCCTTACTCATGGTCGAATCACAAAGATTTGTGATTTTGGTCTAGCCAGAGACATCAAGAATGATTCTAATTATGTGGTCAAAGGAAACGTGAGTACCCACTCTCTCTTGACAGTCCAGTGAAGGATTTTTGTTTCAAGTTTTCTTAAGTATTGTTTTTTAGGATTTTCATAATGCAGATCCTACCTTTGCGGTACCATGCATTTTAGCAGTCAAATTAAGTGTACTTTCGCAAAATTCCGATAATAGAATTCCTAATTCTAATTGTGTAATTATGGAGCATGTGAAGGAAACAGAAATAGCCTTAATTTTCATTATAGCCTGAGAATAGCAATGAACTTGATTTTGTTCAAGTGAAACAAATGCGGACCTGAAGGTCACAGCAGGAGAATTTTATTTTGAGATTGGCATGCTATGTGAAAAAGATAATGTTAAGTCTAAGATAATGTTCAGAGTTAGGTATATAGGATGTTGAATCTTATAATCAAGAGCTTATTAAAGACATTCATAAGGAATAATTGGCTTACGGAACATAGTGATTTTATTTCAAAGTGCTTTCATTGCCAGTTTTCATTGTATCATCAGGACAAACCCTTGGCATTAGAATGCAAGTCTTCACATTTTAAAAGTTGGAGAAACTAAAAACAGTGTATTTTAGTGATATTTGTCTGAGATGACACAGGTCAGTAGAGGCTGAAACCAGAGCCTATGATTTCTAGAGGAATATTCCATTAGTATGGGAAGCCAGTAGTCTTGAACATATATTCTCCTACATCTGTTTTCCCAGGCCCATACCTGTAGTCCAGAGCTATTTCTGGAGGTAGCTCTTGTGTGCCTTATGATGATGTAATATTTCCTTCTCCATCACTATGGCATCTCTGTGGGTGGGCTGTACTAGACTTGTTTCTTTGCAGAAATGTTCCTGGATTTACTTCCTGATGATAGCATGCGTTTCTAGTACCTCGCTAAGGCTAGGAGTGTTAATAACACCAAATCCTCTCCGTCCTGGTACACTATTGGAAGGAAGAATGAAAGGTGGTTCTCTATCCAGGCCTTTGAGTATTGACAAAAGGCTACTGGATTGTGGACCCAGTCTTGCTGAGTTCGAACCTTGTTCTATCATTTAGTGGCTGTGTGATATTTGGCAAGGATTACCCCAGCACCTCTGAACCTTGGTTTTTCTCCTTTTGGTAATAATACTGTCACCTGCCTCATAAAGTTGTTGTGAGGATTAAATGAGTTAATATACATAGTAGGGTGTTTAGAATAGTGCCAGGCTCACTGTGGCTAATACTTATATGAGGCACTTATTATTCTAGCTAGATGTCTTATTTAGAATCTAAATAATCATGACAGTGGTTATGCTGCAGCTTCTTAATAGAAGCCGTTCTTGGCTCGTGACCTAAGTTGGAATTAACAAGGATGGGTCAGGTGGTTAGGTCCCACCAGGCTTCAGATTGTGAACTCCAGCTAAGCCACTTCAACTAACCAGTCACAGATATCACCCTTCACCAGGCTACTGGGTAAGGAGACCTAATGGGACAAAATTAAAAGCAGGGAAACTCATACAACATGTTTTTGGCCCCAAATTTACATCACAGTCATTTGAGACCCCCTCGTTGTGTCAGTTTCTCTGAAAGTTCTTCACACGCGTTCTTGGTCGTTTCTGTGCTGTGGCCCCTATCATAGTCTGGTGACACCTGTGGATCCCTTGTCAGAACACTATTTTAAACGCATAAAATACATAGGATACTGAGAAAGGCCATTAAATGGAAACGAAGTTATTAAAAAGTACCTCTGTGATATTCATTACACGTGCTTCTTTGTTACACAGAATAACATGTTCTAACTGTGGGTCTAACAACTACCGTAACGTCTAAGTGATGAATATAAAACTGTAATATGAAGGTATCTATGTTACTGTTGGTGACAGTCACAGGCACTGCTAAGACCTGGTGCTTTATTGCCTGCATTCATAATTTAAGGAAATGCTCAACTTCAGTTAGTCAACACAAGAATGTAATTTTTTCCCTTCCAAGTTCACAAGCCCCTGAATTCAAGACACCTTGTAAATCTCAGGTTAAGGGCCTCTGTAAGAGTTTTAGCACAAAATCTGGGAGGGGATACTGGAAAGCATTTTTTTCCCCTACTGACTAAAATAACTTTAAGACCAGAAAACATTGTCTTCCCAGTTTTCAATCCTAAATGGATTAAGCGAAGGATTGATTTAGCTTTTTATGGTAAATTAAGATCCAGGAATCCAGAAATGTCTCTAAGAGGACTAGTCACAGAAAGTTTGGCTCGAGGTTAGCTTGAGGAGTTCAGGATGTGAAGTTCGGCCATTGAATTTCAACCCCGAATCTGCCACTCACCACCTTGGAATAGTCATAGTCAGCATATCCGCTACTCTCTGTCACGTGCTTGCTTGTACAGGGCAAGTTTTCAGACACTAGTGAGTCGTCAGCAGTACCCGGCTAAGCACTGGTACCCATATTATCTCATTTAACCCCCAAGACAACTCATGGAATTTGGAGTATTATTTTTGCTTTACAGAAGGATATCCTGAGGCTTAATTATAGATGCATAAGTGACTTTCCCACTCTATTAGTAAGGGATAGTTTTGGTTGCATATGACAGAACACCCAAAAAAAGGTAAAACAAGTATAGGAGTAGCAGGCCGGGCCCGGTATGGAGGTTCCATGATGTACTAGGGGGAGCGAATGATATGGCCATGAGAGAGCCAGCCAACACATCCAGAAAGCAGGATAATGGAGGAAGAGACAAGAAGGAAGAGGCCACAGGGCACATGCCAGCTTCATTTTAAGGAAGTTTTCCTAAAGCTGTCACACAACACATATACCTTAGTGGCCAAAACTGAGCCACATGGCTGCACGCAGCTGGGAAGGAGCTGGGCCATGCAGTCCTTACCGTGGGAGGCCATGTTTCATTAAGGGAAAAGGGTAAATAACGTTCAGTGGTAACTAACCTCTGTGTTAACACAAGGCCAGTGGTGGAGCCAGGGTTAGAACCCATGTATCTGTGTCTGACATCTGTGCTTCTGTGCACCACACTGTACAGACTCAATGTCCCCATCTTGAAAATGCGGATAGTATACAGTTGAACAATGCAGGGATGAATCTCAGTATAAATTAGAGCCAGCCCTCCGTATCCACGGTTCCTCTGCATCCTTGGATTCGACTCACCGCGGACCGTGTAGCATTTATTATTGAAAAATATTCATGTGTAAGTGGACCCATGCAGTTCAAACCATCGTTGTTCAAGGGTCAGCTGTACTTGTGATCCACCTATTTCAGAGGCAGTCGGGGTCATCTGAGGTTATGTGGGTGGAAGGCCTTTGTGAGATGCCCGTCAAGTTCTCACCTCCACCTCTCAGCAGAAGCAACATTTATAGGAATATATTTTGTTCCGTTTTTTTTTTTTTTTTTTTTTAAGCTTCATAATTAACATTGTTGACTCTGTTATGCTTCCATTGCAGGCTCGGCTACCTGTGAAGTGGATGGCACCAGAGAGCATTTTCAGCTGTGTGTACACGTTTGAAAGTGATGTCTGGTCCTATGGGATTTTTCTGTGGGAGCTGTTCTCTTTAGGTAAAACGAGCCTTGCCAAAGCCTCCTTGATCAGACTTAGAGCATCTTCTTTAAGGTGTTGTCAGCGTCCTGCTTGCTTATTGTTACACTGATTTGCGAACTGTTTGTGCCTCAGGAAGCAGCCCCTACCCTGGAATGCCAGTCGATTCTAAATTCTACAAGATGATCAAGGAAGGTTTCCGAATGCTCAGCCCTGAGCACACACCTGCGGAAATGTAAGGGCCCGGACATTCTTCCTTCAGATAATGTTTCCCCTTTTATTTTCCTTTTTAAAGACAAGCTCAGATGTTGAGGGTTTTCACTAGCACAGTTTGAAATGTCGCTTGGTTCCTTTTTTATGACATCCTGGTCAAATGTCATTTCTGTAGCTGATTTTCATAATTCTTGTCACCAAGTATACAGAAAGTTTTGGCAGCATCTCATAGACACAGCTTTATTTTATGCCCATGTCATTCACTATGTCCAGTTGCGTAGCCCTGGATTTATTTTTGAAATTGCTGCATGGCATACACCTGAGGACCAGTTAAGGGCATTGAGGAGTGATAGATGGCCCTCATTTTGCAGGTATGACATCATGAAGACTTGCTGGGATGCTGATCCCCTGAAAAGGCCAACATTTAAGCAGATTGTGCAGCTGATTGAGAAGCAGATTTCAGAGAGCACCAATCATGTGAGTACACTCTAGCCGGGCAAAGGACCTCCGCTCTCTTGGTTCCAAGCGTGTCCTTCTCAGGCTCTGGGGGTAAGGACTAAGCTACTCAACCCTTCTCCCCTTGGCTTAGGCTGTAAATTGGGCTTTGGGTAGGAAAGTAAAGCAATGGAAACAGTTTCTTTTGCCCAACCCCCCATTCTGGGCCAAGGGCTGTGAAATGAGGAGGTGAAAGAGTAGAGGGCTTGGCACTCGGAAGTGTGGACATAGATGTTTCCATAAGGACTTGCCACATTTCCTCTTCCACCCCAAGTGCTGGTCATGGGGTCGGCATGTGCTCTGCCTCACGTGTCAGGCTATTCAGCCTTTGGAGGGTTGGGGTGATGTGCACTAGAATAAAATCAGAGAAAAGACAGCTTGTTGCTGCAGTAAAATAAACCTTCTGCTCAAGAAAGCATAACCAGAATGTGGCAGATAGCTGTCATGGCCACAAGCCATAGAGAAATGAAGAGTTGTTTGAAGTTGGGAGATCCCTCCCAGTGATTTGAGGAGGGGGGAAATCAAAACTCAAATCCATCATTTGTTTGGCTTTTAAGGAAGAATGAGTGATCCTTACTTTGACTCAGGTTTTTTTTAAGCTGCTTTTTTTCTGGTTTGTGTGTTTGGAACTGTCTTTTCTTCAGCATATACTACTGATAATTTTGGGTTGAAGCTTGCTCTTCCGGGTGTCAAAGCACATTTTGAATTAAACAGCATCTCACACCCAAGAGCCTGGTTCTCAATGGAAGACCCCCGGAAGGACCACCGATTTCTTAGTGACTGACATCAGCCTTTGGATTGGAGTTGGCTGTAGAGATTTATACACCTTTTATAAAAGTTAGATCATTCTCTTTCCCAGATGTGTCCCAGCAGAAAAGCACATTTTGCACCATCACTTCTTAGGTAATGAGATGAGACCTTGGGGAAAATGAGGGATAGAACAAAGCTTGTCTTTGGTCAATATGATTTGGTTCTTGGCTGTAAGGTCTTGTAAACCCCCTGGCTTTAGGAGTCTTCATAAGTGGTGATTCTGAGGCTGCAGATGTGCCCCTTTGTTGCTGTGCTCGTTATGGAGACTGGTGTATTAACTGCGGACTTGTTTTCCTCAGATTTATTCCAACTTAGCGAACTGCAGCCCCCATCGGGAGACCGCCTCGGTGGACCGTTCCGTGCGGATCAACTCGGTTGGCAGCAGCACATCCTCCACGCAGCCTCTGCTTGTCCACGAAGATGTCTGAAGCAGAATGCGCATCTGGGGGTTGGGTGGGGGGGACTCCCCGACAAGAACGGCCCCGATTCTTTTGATTTTCATAATGGTTATTTTGTTTTCCTTCGACTCGAATCCTACTCCAGGGTAATGGACACCCCACTGTACTCCTGTCTTTATGAGCACACTTTAGTGGCCGAGGACTTCTGTCATCAGCTACCATTGAGCTGCATATGTTCCCAATAGCAAGCTAGCCCCCGTTAACCCAATAACTTCAGACTTGGAGAAAGGGTGGGTGGGATGGGCTATAGACACCCTGAGTCCTTCCCAGGGCTTCTCCAATTTCTGCCTGAAAAGTATAGTTGATAGTTTATTTGAATACCTGGCAGTAGTCACCTTCATTCCTCATAACCATCCGTAATGATACGATGATGCAGCAAGACTAGAAACCGAAAGCTCATCCCTTGATGTGGAAAACAGAATGTTATTCAAAGGGCAGAAACCTATGAGTATCTGGGCTCAAGAAATCTAGTATTTCATGCTGGGAGTGAGACGTAGGCCGTGGAAAAATGCTTTCCAGGCACGAATGAAGACTGCTGGGTGTGAGCCTTTGTGGTCCTGACCTGTTTTCTAAATAAGAGTTCACAATTAGGGAGCTGAATTGGAGAGAAGGCCTCCCCAGCCTGCATTTTGTATATACTCACCTGTAAATTGTACAGATTCACATATTTGAGGCGGGAAACCCACAAGGTGTAGTTTCTGGATACGATTCTGGCTGGAGTCTGCTGTGTGTAGGAATAGCTGAAGAGCCAGACAAGTTTGAAGGAAACAGTTAGTGCTTTTTTTTTTTTTTTCTTTTTTTAAAGAAAATACATAATTGCCAAGCACAGTCTTAACAGAGATCTCCTTTGTAGCCGACGAACTTGCTCTAGAGATTGTCCAGAACAAGCTGACCAGCTTCAGAATGGCGTTGTGTTCAGTGGATTTGATGCCGTTTGAAAAAGTGACCGATTTACTGCATGACTCCGGCAGAAGTGGCAAAACAGTACTGTCTCAGTTGGATTCTTCTGTAGCCGGAAATAAACTTGAGATTCAGCCTCCATCACAGACACGTCCTAGACACTGGGCCAGTATCTATATAAGTGTGTATGTGTGCGTGCGTGTGTATGCTTGTAGACAAATATTTTGGGAGTAGTCTTGCCTTGAGCCCAAGAGGGTCCTTCAGTACCCAAGAAGTCGCTTGGCTTTCTTCAGCACAGCTCTTGTTTCACTCCACCTAGCTGTGTAGAGAAGCTTACCAAAAGCTTACGTAGAGGCATATAGGAAGTGGAGTGCTTAAGTACCTGTTTATTTGCAATCCACCTGCACTTAAGGCACTCTGTTATTTATGCTCAACATACTCTACCTGTTCCTTAGACCTTATTAATGCTATTTTCCCACTGAAACATATTTAAATTTTACACTTTAGGCTGTAGCCTGGATATTACCGTTAAGAGTTTACCTTTTTTTTTCCTGCCCAACTGTAAGAGATCCATGGGTACATGGCAAGGTTTGTGTGTTGTCTCGTGAGATTCAGGTATGCCGCCCTCACGGTTTTCTCCTCCTAGGTCCCTTAGCTTTCATTTAGAGAACTGTGGCCATTTATCTGGAAGTAACCATTTGCACTGGAGTTCTATGCTCTCGCACCTTTCCAAAGGTAACAGGTTGGGGCGTTTTGTTGTCACGTAAGAAGTTGTCGCTGTTTGCCATACTTTGAAAATTTCCTTTGTGTTTCTATTGACTTTGGTTATAGTAAGAAAAATGGTTGTTAATTGTAGATGTCTAGGTACTTCAGGGGCACTTCACTGAGAGTTTTGTCTTGGGTATTCTTGAAAGTTTATATTTTTATAATTTTTTTTTTTTTACATCCCACGTTTCTTTGGCAGTGGCTTAATGTTTGAAATTATTTTGTGGCTTTTTTTGGTAAATATTGAAATGTAGCAATAATGTCTTTTGAATATTCCCAAGCCCGTGAGTCCTTGAAAATATTTTTTATATATACAGTAAGTAACTTTATGTGTAAATATGTAAGCGGTGCAAGTTTAAAGGATGTTGATGTTCTGTATGTTTTTTCTCTGATATGTTGTCCAGTTGTTCACAGTTCTGAAGAATTCTAATAAAAGTGTAAATATATAAATCAAGTGGAAGTTTTAATTATTTCAGACTCAGGGAAATTAAACTTGGAAGTGTTAAAAGTGCATTCACCCTGACATTAGAATGGTTTGTACCTAGTATGCATAAGATACATGCGAGGCTACCAGATTGCTAGGATTTATATACTTAAAGACTCAACAGACATCTGTTAAGCATTTGTACGTGCTGTATTTTCTCATTTTATCTCTACAACCCAAGGTCTCCATTTAAATTGAGAAATAAATGTAGAACACATTGAGATTAGCGCACATTGCTATGATGATTATTAGGTTGATTCATGTGAAGTGACCATCCTGGTTAGCAGCAATTTTATGTGGTTCAATCTAATATAACTGGCATGTTTCTTCCTAAAAGAGGTTGTCTAAAAATTAATATGAACAGTAAAGTAATTCACAAGGTTGACGTGAGGAATCCCAAGAACGTGGTTTGTATTCTTGTTGGCTTGGATTTCTAACATCCCTTCTGACATGTTCATGTTCCACCCCTTTCATCTTTATTCTCACTTGCTTCTGGAACAAAGTGAAGTTCTATCACTTGCTTGGAGGGAGGTGACTTGTGCCTTTTAATTCGGTACTGTCCTGTGGCTGGAGCAACCTTTGTGATCAGCAGGGACTGTCCAGACCATTGGAACCTGCATAGAGCCTGAGTGTTACTCCAGCTTAAAACAAAGAATCATCCCAAACCACAAAATCCTATTAAAAATGAGCTAAGCACACAAAACACCATCAGTTTTATTTTCTTTTTTGACATGGCATCTACACCTGCAGAAGTAACTCCTGGAAGGAGAGGGAAAAGGGGTGAACGGTGAACTGTAATGAACAAGAATCCTTTTAAAATCAGGAGGGAATGGTGTGGCCAGAAACATCAATAATCAATGAAAAACAGACCCACATTTCAGTTTTCCATTATATTATTACAGACAGGAATGAGTGCTAACTGACCACAAAACAAAGAAATCCTTTATGAATGGTTTCATTGTCATTTAGACTTTTTCATGTGTGTGTAATCAAGAGTTAGAAGCAGTCCCTGGCCCTTATATTATTAATGTAGCTGTTACCTTCCCTGGCCCAGCTTTTAGTCACAAAGTAGATGCTTGGTGTCCAGCCTCTCACTGGGTTCAAAGGTGCCAGCCTTGTCTCGACCCCTTAGTGCTCTGTGACATTGGGCAGATGAACTCCTGAAATCTCATTTTCCAAAACCGTGGTAACTGCCTCAATGTACTGAAATGAAGCTGTCAGACTACCTTGTTCATATGCCTATTACATAAATAGCATTCAAAAATGGTGAATTTTGGGCTTCCCTGGTGGCGCAGTCGTTGAGAGTCCGCCTGCCGATGCAGCGGACACGGGTTCGTGCCCCGGTCCGGGAGGATCCCACATGCCGCGGAGCGGCTGGGTCCGTGAGCCGTGGCCGCTGAGCCTGCGCGTCCGGAGCCTGTGCTCTGCAGCGGGAGAGGCCACAACAGTGAGAAGCCCGCGTACAGCAAAAAAAAAAAAAAAAAAAAAGGTAACCTTTGTCATGGCTGATTAGGCTCGTTAGGAAGGAAGAAGATGCTCCCGTACCAACGTAACCCAGTGGTTACCCCGCATAGGACTCTACGGTCAAAAATGTGCTTCTAGCTGTTGTCTTTCTCTAAAATGCAAACAGTACCATACTAGTTTGCCGGTGAAAATTGACTTTGCTGTAGAGATTTCTGTGTTTTATTAAAATCCCAACTTCTTAGCCAGGAATTCAAGGCTCTCTATTCTTGCTCCAGCCTTCTCTCCACGCTTCTCTCATGTTACCCTCGACTCATAAATATGCCCCACTCTTCTGCTTCCATCCATTCTGACTTTATGTTGTCTCTTCTCTCCCAACAAGCCCCCCACCCTTCAAGACCAGGGAAATAAACGCAGTTGGAAGTTGCCTTTGAATCCCCATGACATTTGGTACCCGTCATTTTTATTGCTCTTAACAATCTATCCTGCCTGGTACTGTAATTATTTTGATTTTTGTGTTATCTCCTCCCCACCGATACTATAGTCAGTGTTAAAATTAATTAACATAAAATACCTGTATGTGGTGGGTCACTAGTTTCTCTGGTTATCATTCACTTGTTAAAATTAGACACTCCAGAGGTTACATTGCTCAAGAGTTTGCAGGAGGTAAAGACTTGCCCAAGTTCGCCTAGTGGTATGTGAAGTCTCTGCACCTCCGTGGTGGCAAGTACCTGGTCTTCCCATGCTGGCATCTCTCTATCCATGTCCGTGCG